TCCACAAGCTACTCGAAATAGCGCTTTCATGGTTTTATAATTTCCGCATGGAAGACATGCTAACTTTTGCTATAGCGTGCTGTCCTTGCAATATAATTACGTTTTAATTTTTGTTCTGAAAATATGCACCTGATCATACTGATCTCCAAGACCTTCGAGAGGATATAAATGCGACTGGATAGCTCTCATTGCGAGTACTACCTGTAGTAAATAATACGTCATAGGACAAGGATAAAAGGCCCTTAGAGTTTTTCTTTCCCTAATTTGGCAGATTATGAATTTAATATAGGATCACTGGAATTAGAAGAAGCCAAACTAGGTAGTATAACTGACGTAGCATCCCCATGACCGAGTTTCTTTTAACCTCGGCATTGATTGATAATTCGGTGTTTTTCTTCAATAAGCAAACACGAAGTTGTTATTATAGAATTTATTAGAATACAATAGCTGACGTCTCGGCGGTTTCGCCTTCTTCAGAGCCATTTATTTGTTGTAAGTATTTGAGTTGGTGGTTAGCAGCCGCACAGAGTAATACATGGGCGATAACTCTGAAGAAGGTGAAACCGCCGAAACTTCAGCTATTGTATCCTAATAAATTCTATAATAACAACCTCGTGTCTGCTTATTGAAGAAAAACATCGAATTAACGTAGCATCGTTTTAGTGCCTTTTATTCGTTGATTGTGAGCAGCAATAATCCGCTAGGATTTCATTATTGTTAAATATTTTATTAGCACTAAATTCAGTGTGCTTTGTTTTGCTCGGAAATCTTAGATATACTTGAGAATATCTGCTTTCCGATGTCTCACATCAGGTCATTATAGATAGACTATAATCGCACATACCTCCAAGTATTTTCGGCTCCTGATTAAAGTAGTTCACTTTCCAAAGCCGCACTCAATGAATAATGAACATCGCCAACATCATTGTTAAGTAGTGCGATGTCAGCTATCATAAACAACATCCATTTTACACGCATTATCATGTGTATCAGTGTTCAGAATTCTCAACGTGTATCTGGAATGATGATGACACAGCTTCGTCTTCGTATGGTCTTCGCTTTCAGTGTAGACGGAAGGAGATATTTGAATTCCTCTATTTCAAAGCTCTATAAATACATGAGCGGCGATGGTGCCCTACTATTCAGCTGTCTACAATCATATGTCGAAAATTAAACGAATTCATTCTGTTATGCTCTGTTCTGTTGAGCACTTTAGAATTACTACTTGGTATTAATGATATTAATCAGCCAGCATTGTTTCAAGTGAATAAGGTTAGACAGAACACGTTGTCATTGGCTCGTAGTAGTGTAGGCGTTAACTGAAGTAGTGATGAAACCACGAAACAGTTCCTAAAGCCTTTACGTCTTGCCCTTTATGAGCTGAAGTGAGGTTACGTGTAAACGAACGCCATTTTCTTTAAAGAACTGCTCACCGTGCTTGCCAGCTGGACCACCCATGTGTTGTTCATATGGGATGATGGATGAGACCGGCCTAAGTCAGAAAATCAGTTTGAAATAAGGCGCCGGGCCACGTGTGATAGTTAGGTATTCGTCTTTCCAGTCCATTTTCGGATTTTTGAAGTTTCTACAAATCGTCTCATGGACATAAGAAAGACCAAAAAAACAGAAAACATAAAAAGAAGCGTCGTTTTCTTGTTCAGCAATCGCGAGGTTTTTAAACAGCATACATTTACTTCCATAAAAAAAAACGCAGTACAATAATACAACACTTGCTGACGCTTCGGCAGTATCGCCTTCTTCAGAGCCGCTTTTTCGTGACTTCCAATGAGGAAGTTTAGAACAGCTGATTATAGTCGCATATGCCCGGAGGTCATACGCGACCTGATCCCGTATGTTTGCATCGATTTTTGATGTGGGATAGTGCAGTCGTCAACCACATGCGACTATAATCAGCTGTTCTAAACTTCCTCATTGGAAGTCACGAAAAAGCGGTGGGTTTTTCGAGAAGTTGTTGATCGTGTAATTACCAAAGAGTCTTTCGTCTTTGTGTAAGTGTTATTGAAGCGTTTGGCCTAGTAGATTGTATATCAGCATACCCTTCCAGGCTCTGAAGAAGGCGATACTGCCGAAACGTCAGCTAGTGTTGTATTGTATTGTGTTTTTCTGTGGAAGTAAATGTATGCTGTTTAAAAACCTCGCGATTGCTGAACAAGAAAACGATACATTCATATTCCAATGCCGAGGTTAAGAGAAAGTCGATCCTGGGAACTAAAAAGAAGCATTTAAGAACATCTAGATGGGAACCTTAAAATTCGATAAAGTAGTATTTCGAGTCAGTGAAAAATGTGAATGTGAAAAACGTTTTCTTCCAACGCATAGAGATTACAATGATAATAATAATATATTTTTATTACGATGTCGATTACCACAGTCACGGTGGTCGTTCGACCTCGTCTTCGATCACTTACCTTTTCACTCTTCCAACCTCATGAAATTGGTACCAGACTTGTCCGAGAAAAGATCACTCTTTGCAATTCGAGTGATAATGCTCTAACCCTCCTCCCCCTATTCCAACACTCCAGGAAGAATCGACCACCATTCAACGACATTCAGAAATTTATTGCTATTCCACGACGCGTCATGACATCTGCTGCAGCGGGTCCCAGCACTTCCTGCATTCGATTCGTAACCAAAATAAAAGAGGGCATCACCAAGTGAGTATGCCTCATTCGAGGAGATGGCCCACTGAGGAAAACCTGACTCGACACGAAGGTGAAGCCGCCATATCGAGACGAATAACAAGCGTGGACCATCGACTCGGATCATCGGCTTTGATGAAGACGAAGACGTCGAAATGTTAGCCAAAAATAAATATATTTATCAACCTCGTGTAAGCTCATCAAGAAATAATACATATTCGACAAAGTGCTTTTCTAGGTATGCATAGGGCACGAAAGCACATGGAGGTAATTTTGAAGTGACTGTCCGGATCATAGCGCAGGAATCGAAAACATTAACGCTCAAGGTTCTTGAGGCATTTTGGATAAATCTCAAAATTCCAAAAATGAACCGGGAAGTCGAATGCCTCACCATCACGGGTGATCTGGCGCCTTATTTGAAAATTACTTTTTGCCGGGGTGTGTCTCGCTCGTCATCCCACACGAACAACACAACAACACGGTGACTAGTTTTTTTAAACAAAGTGGCATTCATTTATATTAGACCCTCATTAACAATATAGATGTTTCGCCGAATTATAAGGCTGTTGTTACATAGAATATGTCCAGGCTCTGAGGAATACAAAGTCACCGAAACATGAGCCATCGAACAAGGTTGGATAGAATCGCGAATCTCCCACCATATTCTACTATTTTGATTGCTGTCAAGTGTAATACTCTATCTTAGAAATTAGCGTTGTTTAGCAAGCGTTCAAACGCTATAACATCCTTAGCCATGGCGAATTTCGTACATGCGTCGTAGTGATGACTTTTTAGAAGATTTCGGGACTTTAATGCGAGATTTTGACCTACTTGGAATTTTCTGTGTGTAGTCTGAGCTCTCCCAGCGTTTTTTTATTTCTTGGAATAACCATTTATCGCATCTCGTCAACGACCAAATGAAAATCGAGATTGGTCATTTCTTCGTTTAGCAGTTCGCATCGATCAACTATCCATACGCTGAATACATCCATTGGATAATTGCGGTTACTACATACTAAGCCATGTTATAAAATAGCCAAGTTTTTGAGCAGTTTGTACAAAAAGCCTCCAGGTTTTTTTTCCCATCCATTATAATCGTTTACAGTGTTAACTTTTTATTTATTGCCCACCAGAATTTTTCACGGTCGGGTACTATGTGAAATAATCCCGTTGATCAATCCCGTTCATGGGTGATTGCCGATGACATTGGTAGATAGAAAACTTGTTGAGAGGGAGGCGAAGCAAAGGACCGGCATTGTGTAGTGGTGAACGCGAGTCCCCGGAAAGGGTGATAGTGCGTTCGTTCCCTACCGCAGACACCTACGGTCAGCAATTTTACAGATATCTCAGCGTCATTATGGTTATAACCGTTTGCTTTGCACTAACATTGTTCCTTGCAACAATTGTTGCTTGTAGAGGCTGGACCTGCATGCTGCTCGTTCAATCGAATCACTCACCAATAGTGGTTATGTTATAATCGATGGGTGTATTTCTATTTTTGCTAATATTCTCAACGAAATTGCTGAAATTCGAACTGAAGCCGCGGAAAAGTTCTTTCCTTCTTTAGTGCTATATGAGAGTCAAGGTAAGAAATATAATTCGTGCTTTTTCTCATTTTCATAATACGAGTTCGCTTTCAATATCTTCAATCCCGATAAGTAACAAAGACATGGGACGGTATATGGAGGAACATAAATCTTACATAGGTCAACAGACGCAGAACTTCCTACAAGGCGTAGAGAAAAACCGATTTATGGAACGAATATTAGAGTAAAAGTGGGCGGGGTTGCATAAAAACTGCGATAGTGACCGGCGTGACATCTATAGGTGTCACAGTGAGCGCAAAATTATGTGATGTCGCGAGAATGCTAAAAGCTGTAGCGGATTTATGAATGCAGCAAGAATGCAATGACTTGGAAATTTACCAGTGCTATAAACTTTATCATTCTTATTATTTTTTTCCAAAGCTGTTTACTCGTGATGAATTAAGATCTGGATTCTTCCGATCAGTGCCGAGCTGTTAGAGAAATGGCAGAGTTTTTCCCGATTCTACTAGATTTATCGCATTTTCTTGCCAGAATTAATCTATTGTTCCGTAATCTACTTTTTCAAATACATGGATTTCAGTTATTAAAGTAAGTTTGTTTAGCTAGCCTAATAGTCTGGTCTACACCATTATAGATTAGTTTACATAGATTTAAGTACTTTGTTTAAAATGTTGCTAACATCTTCGAGCGAATAATTAAGAAATATGTTGTAAGCCCAATCTGTTTATTAATGCTTTCGGCTTCTTAGAGATAATGAAGTGCCGGGAGCATCGACGCGGAAGTTGTTGCGGGCATGGTTTGGGTTAGGTGAATTGCTGGTGATTATCCTTCAGACGGAGAAAATAATCGAATCTCGCCCAGCTATTCGGAATGATTGGAACAACTATTGTCGGTGAGCAGTCATATAAAACTGTGAAATGATTAAGCTTTCGGTCTTGATTTTTTTTGAAGAGTCCGCCAGGCATTCGAATTTATCATTGCATCGTAGAGATGATAGAATACGTATCTGGCATATGCAGTGAGGTGACTGGCCGATTTATCAAGTCGTTGCTGCCATCCTCCTAGACAAGTCTGTACTAATTTCCCAACCTTGAGGGATGGACGAAATACTAAGCCTCTGGTCCAGCACTGAACCGACGAACATGTGTGGATTGCAAAGCACTTCTAAAAAGTGTACTATATGCATTCCGGAACTTCCTTGTATTTTTAATAAATGTCAATATCACCATTTTCCCATTCCTCTTTCTTCTTATTTTAGCTTTGTAGACTCTTGCCAGCTCTAGTCAGTTAAATAATCCGTTTCATAGCATTTTTTTGGTATGCATCTAGTTACGCGTGTAGCGCAGTGGTCGGAGACCTCTAATACAGATGGGATCGATCTCGGCGCGCAAGGCTCACCAAACCTTCTATGCCTCCAAGGTCGCCAAATTGGTACCAGACTTGTCTGGGAGGATAGCATCACTGGCTCGATACATTAGTAGGCCACCGCGAATCATTATAAAGGCCAGATATGCATTCAATCACCTCCAGCGATCCTTAATGAAGTTGAGTACATGACGCATTCCTCAGGGATTGATCAAACCTGAGAGTTTTATCCTTTTTCTTAGACATCTATTTACGGATCATTTTTAAATCTTTAGAATTGGCCTTATTAAGATTGAATAGGACTTACTTGTTTGATTTTTTTCACATTCAGAAAGGAGAGAGAAAGAAACTTAAGAAAATATTAAGAAAGTAGTATAGTGAAAAACACCATATTACTTTGGGTACTCTAAAGTTACATAAAATTTCAGCGCTATGAACACTGCTCAGCATAATCCATCGCAGTTCGGCGTGAGCGATGAAGAACTCCGTCAGTTGATTGCTACAATTTCTTCTGTGGACGGACTTGTCATGGCGGGAAATGGGCTCAGAGTGAGTTGTTCAAAAATTTGGAATACTGTAGATACTGAATACTGGAATACTATACTGGAATACTTGAGTCGCACTGTCTAGAATTGTTATGAGCAATCCTATGGCGATCTCGATGAGGACAAACAGTTTTCTGCTCGAATGCGTGCAGCTATCATCGAGTTGTATAACCAGTGGGAGAGGGCAGCTGGTATGTGTTTAGTTGCTTTCTTCATTTTTTCCTGCATTAAGATGTTTTGGGACGTGTGTAGTGCAGTGGTCAGAGGCGCCCTGCAATAAACATGGGAACGATCCCTGCGCCCAGTTTGGTATATTCCAATTCTTCAATATCTTATTTTATCAGTAGAAATTGGAACGCTTCAATTCAATTCACTTTCGTCACGTTTTGAAAATATATTCTTTCTAGCGATATAAATGCTTTGGTTCCTTGTGTTCAGTGAAGTTGTTGTAGATCTTTGTTTTTGAAAGAGCATTTCGGTGGTGGCAGGTTGATTGTTAAAGCAGATGAGTTATAGTTTGCTCCAACTTGTTACTTGTTATGCAACAGAATTCGTTTCTCTAGAACGATAATCATAGGTCGTAGACATGCAATTCCTATGTTTATCAGATTCTTCCGTTGCACATTGCAATACACCGCGAGTAGTTTTCATTGCATTAATTAAAGCAACTTTCGTGACTACAATCATTTTACCACTTGTTCAGTTCATCAAACCTCCACCTAGGTTTGTTCTCATTCTTTAGTTTGATTGAGGCGCTTCAAAACCCTTTCACATACGCATGGTTTGGAATACTGTAGATCTCGACCCGGCAAACCTTCGGACTTTTTTCTTGGATCTGCTTCATTTAACATCTTCAAATGGTCACCATCGATCGCAACGAGTTTCCAACCATCCTTATCTTTAAAGCTCCTGCCATCGCCAAGCTTGTTAAACTGACGATTTACCGTATGGTCGTTATTATTTCACTTCTTAATAACAACTCATATCACTAGTTGTTCATCGAGCATTTTCACATTCATTTTCACACAGCATCGAGCATTCACAATTTTTCTACTTAAGTAATTCAGGGCACCTTGACATAGAAACGTTGAAGTTAACACATTCTGAACTGTACAGCTCATACGCCATTCATAGTTGGCTCAAAATAACTCAGCTTTTCAAATTAAGGAAGCCATTAGAATACGCTCATCTTCCCGAAGTTTTCTAGTTCTACGAAGATGAGATTGTGATACCGTGAATCTCACAGGTCGTCTTTTTTTGATTCTTTCCCACCTCGAATTCTTATGTAACAACTTCTTATACATCCATATCCCTGTAAGGTGTGGTGTCTTCCGTAAGTCTAAATTCTGAAATTTTAAAATACTTTAGTTGTCGATCGATTATCTCACTATCCTAAGAGTCACCTCTTCCTGGCGGACTCTTCAAAAAAAATTAAACCTGAATTAAAAAGAAATTTAAAAAATGACGTGTTAGAAATATGTACGATTTGAGATAGCAAAATCGTTTATTTTATTATGAGTGGAATCATAGTTTTAAGCAGAACTGAATACAGACTTAGTGTGATTTCGTACTTCTCATTTGTCATAATGTTCTGGGTTTTGTTTTTTATTTGTATCTTACTCATTTTACTTACCTGTTACTTATTTTTCCTTACTATTTATGTATTCAATTTTCGAGTCTAATTTATGGTTGATATGTTGATCAGTGAATGTACTTGAATATGTACAAGTAGTAAAATAAACTAGACGAAGTTAGACAGGTTACAGGTTACAGGTTTCTTTAAGTTAGCCGGATATTTTGTTGCATATGCAGATGGTGATATGCCGGATAAGTACCGTCTGATGGTGATCATCTCGCTGTTTGTCTTCTTTCAACGTCATTTCACCCCAAAGGACACAAAGTTAGGAAAACTAGTGTGGAAGAGCCACAAGAAGGTACCAGCTTATCACTATAGAGTAATACATGAATTCTATCTTACTTTTGGAAATGACCTGCTCTCACGATTCCTTTTCATTTGGTTTCTCTTGACTAATTAACATGATTTACTGCTGAATTTTTTTCATTTCTATAGCTGATTAGTTTCCCCGTGTAAGCGAAAACAACTAATTATTACGTATGAACGTTCTAGCTTTTCCATCATGTGTGGTATTCAGCATCAGAAACTAATATTCACCAGTACCAGTACTATAGTTTTTGCAAAGCTATGTTTAATACATATATATATATATATATATGTATATAAGTTAATCTTCCCAACAGTTTACCGCCTTATCGTGGCTGGGAGGTGTTCCTGTGTACCGGGCTGCGATGTAAAGCGGGACATTCACTTCCCCAGCAGGGTCTCCCAAGCTGAGAAGGAATCCGGCGTTCTCATCAGAAAGCCCACCTAAGAGTAAACCACTACCAGGATCCGTCACCGTCCTGGTACCCAACTAGTCGGATAGTAGCAAATCTCCCTCCGATCCACATGGGCGGCGACTGCCTGTGGTGGTGACAGCCTAAGGCAGACTTTGACTGGGATGATCTCGGGACTCCGGAGAACCACAATGGCTAAACCAGCAAGCTTGCTTACTTAATACTTGAATGGCCCGTCCTCACTGGTCCTAGCATAATCTCCATTTTTCGGAGATTTGCTGATTAAGCCATTATGGTTCCCGAGGTTAGCCTGGCCAAAGTCTGCCCCAGGTCTTCACCACCACGGGCAGTCGCAGTCCTTGTGGATCAGAGGGAGATTTATCACCATGCGACTTTAACCGGGATGGTGGTGGATCCTGGTATTGGTCTACTCCTAGCTAGGTTTCCTGATGGAAACGATGTTTCCCGATGGTAACACCGGACTCCATCTCAGCTTGGGAGACACTGCCAGGGGATGAATTCCCCGCTGTTCCCCGCTGTACATCGCAGTCCGACACCCAGGAACAGCTCCTAGTCACAATGAGGCGGTAAACCGTTAGGAGGAAACCAGCAAAACCCCGAAAAATTGGCGATTATGTTAGGTCCTGCACCATCAGTGAGGACGGGCCATCCAAGTATCTTAGTATATAAGCTAATGTCCTTTAGTATATCTTTAAAAGTACTTTTAGTTATCTTTATTTTTTTCTAGATTTTAGCATTTAGATCGGTGCTTTCTATTTGGTTGGAGATATCCTCTGGATTCCTTGTGAATTTCTAATGCGTGAAGTGCCTACTATAGTGACCAATGTTGATAAAAAAAGCGTCCAATTTATTCGCCAACTGAGGTGGTTATTTCTTGTAAGATTTTCTGCTATTTGAAATGACATGTTATGACGAACATTCTTCCGCCATCCAGTGTTTGAAGGTGGCCTTTTGGCTACCGTACTCGACTGCAAAGATTAAGGTATCCAGTTGATAGCTGAAATGCGAATGCGAAGTCCAATTTCAGTACAATTGTTGGCATTCATAAACCTAATTGGTTTTCGTTTCCACTTAATAACGCGCAGAAATATTGACGAAATAGTTAATCTTGTACTCACATTTGTTTGATTTCTTCTCAGTTCACTACCCATTTAGTATTAAAGTAGATCCGGACAAAGAGGGGCCCTTGTAGCGCAGTGGCTAGAGGTGCCTTGCAATACACATGTATTCTTTGGTTCGATATTCCCTTAGTTGATTATGCCATGGGCTTACCGCGCCTTCCATCCCTCAGGGAACGGCAGGTTGGTACCAGACTAATCTGGGTGGATAGCAGCAGTGACTCGATACATCGGTGGGCAACCGCAACTCATTGTATGGGCAAGCTATGCATTCGTTCACTTTTGACGATAATGAAATCGCGCGCATAGCTGATCCCTCAGGGCTTGATTAACGCCGAAGGTTTTGTCTTTTATCTTGAGAGTAAAGATTATCGAGAAAAACTGGTGGAAAGGTATGACATATTGTGCCGCAACATAAATGCTTTGGCATGCATTTAATCCAATGCATCTATGGCCTGAAATGACTTTACCTTTCAAATTTGATGAAGTAGTTACCACCTTTATCCATTTAGTTTGATATGGAATGAATATGGAGCTCTTTGCATACAAGATACGTGTTCCCTTATTTTGTAACGAAGAACTCCTCTTTCTTTTCCAGCTCCCATATTTTTTCCTTTACTTTTTTCTCATCGATTCTCATGTCCTTTAAGCAGAGAATCGATTAGAAAAGTGAAGTTTAATCCAACATTACAAACGTGACGTCCAGGTATTGTTGATATTTGGGATTGCTGAGATTGAATAACATAAAGCATACGGCATTAATCAATTTTTGATGGACGAGTCATGAATTCGGCTTCATCAAGTTCATTAGAGGTGACTGAATGCATATCTGGCCTTTACGATGACTTGCCATGGCTTATCGATGTGTATGGAATCAACTTTTTAACCTCCCAGGCAAGTCTTTTTCTGCCCTGGAGAGATGGGAAGTTTAGTGAATCCAGAACGGGGAACAAGCAAGCAACCGAAACTCTATATATTCTTTGTCTCCTTTATTTGAGTTCAATTCATCATTCATTCAGTCATTGCTCTACTCGTGCCTTTAGGTTGTCGGGATTGTGTTAGAGATCTTCAGTACTCAAGCAAGGTTCACTTTAACCTTTTTAAATATTAAACTTTTAAACAAATTTAAACTCACCATAGTATTTTAGAAAATAAGTATATAATTATATTGGAAGAGAATAGTCTCATGTATAAATTTATGAAGTCCATAGTTGCTTTAGTCCTCTTGTTGTCGAATAATCATCCACACTAGTCGAAAAACCTCTGATGCCGCAAATATATTATTCGAAACTGTTGAGTCTTACTTCAGGTGCGTCTTTCGCAGCAACATAAACTTGATTGCCGCTTCAAATATTTGCCTTCAATTTTAAATCTATCCGAAACAAATGGAAAACCATAAAATTAGCAAAAAAATGAACAAAACATGTGCGATGCTCGGTACTGATATCAAAGCACACTTTTTTTTTCAATGAAATGCGTTTTATGTCTTTACAACAACTTTTACATCTTAACTCTTTTATTTACTGCCTTTTTTTTCTTAATGGCATGGTATGTTGCGAAATATAACTCGTATGAAATGCTGGACCCGGGACCCGGATGGTGTAGTGGTGAAGTGCGCTGCTCCCCGGTAAGGACCACAGCGCGTGTTCGTTCCCCACTGCATACACCTGTGGTCCGGAGTTTTGCAAATATCTCAGCATTTCATACGAACCTTTACATCCCTAATGTAGTTTTTTCCGGCAAAGTTTCTCACTAACATTCAGTCGCAATGGCAAAATATCGGATATGATACCTATTAGTTGATTTTCTTCTTGTTCTTTTAGTACTCATCTCTTTGATAGGTTACATATTTACTTGAACATGGGTTCTTTTCATTTCATTTAAATCTTGCATAGAAGTATTGGAATGCTGCTTCTACTTCTTCAACATCTTCGTAAATTTATTTCAGTAAATTATAGGGAGACACTTCTGAATGAAAAAGGTGACGCCATGCTCGAAGAAGCAGTTTCTTACACACCATCTGCTCAAGAATGGCGGACAAAGGTTAATTGCTTTGATAATTTATTTTGGGAAGCTTTGATACTTGTTTCCATATTTATGGCTAATTTCGGACAGCCTTTTTTCAGAAGCTTTCGTTTTTTCCATAAGCAGAAGTCTCTTCTAAACGGAAAAGTTTTTCAAAAAGTCCAAGATTCTTACTTCTTACGTTGTTGAAATGTAACACTAACAACACTCGAGTTCACTCCTCTTATGTTCTCTCAGATAACCTTTTGCTTAACCCTGATTTCTAAAGCGTTTTCTGAATATTTTCTAACGTAATTACCACTTTCTTCAATGGTTTACCAGTCCATTATAGCCAGGGGCCTTCCTGAGTCTCCAATTCCAGAGTAGGTTTATACATCTAACAGAGTCTATAACTGAGAATGTGTTCGATATCTCCATTTGAACACACAACTACGGGTTAACGAAAGTATGATAGAATCCTTATAACTACCGTTAGCTGCTTTTTCAAGAACAAAAATAGGTGGCATCACACTAGAAGCATTAGCAGTCTTCGTTTTCCTCGAGTAAGCGAAGACTACTGAGTAGCTAATGCGGGCCCTAGTGAGTAGTGAATAATTACTGGTGTCAGCTACAGGAACTCGATGATCATTAGGTTACAGTTGGTATATGAGAGGTAACGAGGTAAATAGAAGATTATTGTTTGTTATTTACCAGCGTTTCCTTGTTTATAGTGATTAGCTCCGTGGAATATGGTAGTTTCAGTACCGAATACTCGTCATTTCGGGATAGAATTCGCATGGTTTTGCCAAGTGGGAACCTTTGTCGTTGCCACAGAGCAAACCTGAAACTTGGGTAATTAAACCGCTTTTGGCAATAATGACCTTGTGACGCTATCAAGGATTATAAAGACGATAAACGCCAAGACGGCAACGGAATTAAAAGCCAAACACAAATCAATGGCCAAGAGGGTACATTGAAAATAAGAAAGTAGTTTCTGCAATAAGCTGGAGAAGTAAAGTGATGAACAACTAAGAAACAACTAGCAACTAATACGCAACAACGCAAAAAATAAGTAATGAGTGATACATCGGTAAGTTAAAGGTGCTTATTTTAATGTAAAGCTCGGCACTCGAATCCCATTGCATGAAATGCGAACGTAAGGAGATAGAGATTATAAGAGCACTATTTGAGCGAAATGATAGGTGACTAATAATGCTGGTGTTTATGTACCTTTTGTAATGGGTTTAGCGTTTCCAGAGAAAATTAAATTTAGCGCTCGAGAGGAAATTCTAGAAAATTTTCAGTCAGTAGAGTTTATAGAGCTGCTTGCACAGAAATTCGTATGAAAACCATATAATAGCCTCTACTGGAAGTTCATGAAGTAGTCAACGAATAGCGAACACAGAAAGTTCGCGTGAATTTTATTGAGAATTGGTAGACAGCATCCGTTATTTATGGAGAATATCCCCTTTATTACGTATTATTGTCTTTCTTCAGTAGTTTACGCATACAAAACCATGGATATCGTCTTATTACATTATTTCTTACTTAAAACAGTTTTCTTATTTTCAAGATGCGAATCGAAAATCGACACGAGGGGCCACGTGATGCGATAGCAAGTTTATCTATTACGGAGCTTATGTTAAAAGTATGTCATGATTCCGATTTTGATTATGTTTTTCTTTATTTCCTTCAATCTAGAATCATTTTACATCTTATATCAAGTCATCTCCATAATAGGGTGCACGAATAGCCGATATTATGTGCAGCTTGTTGAGGATTGTCCTCAATTGTCACACGGGAACTGTGCAGATCTCAAAGGCGAAAGCTTATAAGATGTTTAGTATTATCGAGAACATAAAGGTAACAATACGAATCGTCCTAGTACCTACGACATGCTCAGTTAGTACTTTTTAATAATTTTCTAGACTATTTGTATTTTGGAATATGAGAAAAATAACCAATATGGGTGCTTGATTGTAGGCGATCTCGCAGACGTTCGCCGATTGCCGGCGGATGCTGCTTGAGTGCTGCCAGATGGCTTGTCAACAGTGGCGATGCCACTCTTTGGCCTTAATAGACCGTGCTCAATTGTCGGCTCAAGCATCGAGTGACACCCATCGAGCGGCTGCCTTTCACATTGCCATTCAATGTTTACTCGGCAGTGGTAAGTCCGTTACTGCTTATTGTATTATGTACTAGAAAGCTGCCTATACTTTATCGCTTTTTTGGGGGTATTCTTGACTGTTTAGCTGCAATTTGCAGGGAAGGTTCTTTTGCTCTACCCAGTGGTGTTTGTCACCCAAGCAAAGAAGTAGTTCAATGTTTTCGTTTGAACTAAGTTGTAAATCAATATGGCCGTCCTAAAACAAAGATGACGTACTTCCCTCCATTCTTCGAATGTCAGTGATTTTCTGTATTGTAAAGTGTGGAATGACCTCGGACGGATTTCTTCGGTCCCCAGGAAAATGGATTTTTAAAGCCAACAACATACCAATTAAATGTCCTCATTGAAAGTTAAACGTGCGGAAATTCCTCGTGAAGAAGCGTTCAAATGTTCAAATGTAATAGAAACTCTGAATGAGGCTCTGGTTGATATTCTTTCTAAGCAAGGTTCTTGCTTCTTCGTAGTTTTTTGTTTTCAAAATTTCAGAGTATTCTAAATCGAAAGCGAACTATAATTCAAACCGATATCAACTTCGCTTTTCTGCAGATGGAAACTTATTATTTGTGATACAACTACAACGTTGCAAATATCTCAGCATTTCATACGATTTATATTTCGCAACATACCTTGCCATTAAGAAGAAAAAGGCAGTAAATAAAAAGGGTTAAGATTGTGACTACAACGTTGTTAAGATATTTGGAAAGCTCCGGACCGCAGGTGTCTGCGGTGGGGATCGAACACGCTATTACCCTTTCCGGAGACATTCTTCTGTATACTGTTGGATTATAACTTTTCAAAATGATGTTTCATAAATCATCTGTTTTTTCTATTCACTTATTGTTACAGCTAAAAATTTTCTCTACACTATAGATTGTAAGACTTAGACTAGCTGAGAGAACGGCGAAACGAGGGACTCGCATGGTGTGGTGGTGAACGCGTTAGCCCCCGGGAAGGATAATAGTGCGTTCCGTTCCCCACCGTTGACACCCGCACTCCGGAGTTTTGCAAATATCTCAACAACGTTGTAGTTGTATCACACATAATACCCAGCCGTGAAAATTTGTGATAGACGTTAAATAAAAAGTTAACTCTCGTTGTTGTTTTCCTTCATTTATTTAGTTGTTTATTTTTTGGGGTGCGGCTAGCGCAATGTTAGGGATGTCGTTCAATACTAACCCCAAGGTTTTTGTTCGACCCTGATCTGACCAACGAAACCCATCACTCCGGAGTCAGGAAATTGGTACCAGAATTGTCTGCGAAGTTCCTTTCAAAAGGGTAGCCACTGTTTGTGATGAACACCTGGGAACACCCCAGTACGGCTTCCCAGGATTCTAAGCAGAATAGACTGAAGTAGCATTCAACGACATTCATAAGACTGAAAATCCTTAAGCACAAGCCGAAGCAACACACAAATGCGAAGAACTTCGTAGATGATGGATGCGAGCAAACGGTGCAAATGAAAGAAGTGCTTGGATCCCCAATGCCTGATGTTGGGTCGTGAAAAATTTTAAAAAAGTTTTATTTGTACCACGTAAATATTTGAAGTAAAGGGTAGACCTTTCGACGTTGATCAATTCCTGAGGGATGCGCTATGCATTCGACTTCCGTATCGTTGGAGGTGAGTGAGTGCATATTTGGCCTTTACAATGACTCGCGGTGGTCTACCGATGTATCCAGCCACTACTGCTATCCTCCCAGAGAAGTCTGGAACCAATTTTCCCAACTCCGAAGGAATGGAAAGCTTGGCGAATCTTGGCTGCGGGAATCGATCTCATGTGTGTTGCAGGGCACCTCCGACAACTGCGCGGCACGCGCTCATGAATGCTTGGAGTATAAAAAAGGCATTAAGTAGTGATTAGACACGCAATGATACAACGTGTGTGTGTTTTTTGACGTAATCGTACTAGCTTTATACTGTTTAAATAACAATTAGTTTCACTCCATATTACTGGAAATGTTTTGTTTCTACATAGAAATGTTTTTCATTACAGAATCACGAACTCGCTTGTGCATTTGTGGGGTTGCATTGGAAATCGCACAGTACAAGGTAGTTGAAATCAGTTCGTTCGCGTTCTTTGAAAGCATAGGAATCTATTGTTAAGGAAACAATGGGGCGACTCAACTCTTCTCAACTTGACGCGCTGATTTCTCGATTAGAAACACTTTGCAAAATGGATGCCATCATTGAAAGGTTAGTGTATGCGAAAACCAGAAGTCCCCCAAGTATTGACAATCTTGGTCTTGGCCATCTTCCTCACCCACTGACTTTTTTGGTTTTTATTCTTGGAAGGTTATAACTGCCTTGGTTTTGACATCAGTAAGGACGTGGTTTGGTTTTAGATCTAGTATGAAGCGAAGAACATAGGAGCATGACGTCCGTTTTTGCTTCATTACGGCTCTTTTACAATATTTTCTACCCGAAACTCAATATTAGAACTAGGCATTTTTCGTAGGATTCTTAAATGACTAGTTTGGTAAGAAAATTGATGTCTAGCTAAGGTGGAAAAGAACTGTTGTAGGGCTTAGACTTTGTTTCGTTCCTCAAGAACAAGTAGTACAGAAAGTTACCGAATATTGTTTCATCTTGTATTATCCTGTATTGTTTTCCTGAGATTTTGTCCATGCTGATTGAGGCTTACCATTCCAGGCCAAGTTAGTTTTCGTTTCAATAAATGCTAATATTATGGCGATCATATACGCTCTCTTTCAGAGTAACTGATTGTTCATTTCTTGTCTTTCATCGAGATCTCACTGTAATTTACTGGGACACTGCCTTGAGTCGACTGCCGACCAGACGGGATATTATGGTATATTCTAAGTGTAATTACAATTACAATATCATAATTAGTTGCACTGTTGTAAGGGGGACGTGTAGCGCAGTGGTCTGAGGCACCCGGCAATACACATGGAATCGATCCTTGCGTCTCAGGCCTACCAAGCCCTACATCCCTCCGGAGTCTGCAGATTGGTACCAGTCTTGTCTGGGAGGATGACAGCACTAGCTCGATACATCGGTAGAGGACCACGAGTTATTGTAAAAGCCAGATATGCATTTGATCACCTCCAACGATGCTTGATGATGTCGAATGCATAGTGTTTTCCTTAGGGATTGATCAACGCCGAGAGCTTTATCATTTATCCTTTTGCAACGTTGTAGTTGTGTAAATAAAGCTAGGGAAACACGAATGACTCCAAATTTTACAGAAATGGTATGATTGTCTATTATTTATTAGTTAACAGAAATTTTCGGTGAAATAGTCTCCAAATAACTCATGATTTCGGTTTTGTTGTGCGTTGTAAGCATTTGTTTTGTTGAAACTAGTATTTAAAATATGTGATTCTCTTTTCACTCTTCTAAAAGAGTACTGTATTGCAGAAATCATAATAATAAATGGGCTTCCTATCAATTCGTGTCAGTACTTATCTTATCGCCGTTGCAGCATTTCACAATGGCTGTCTCGGATTGTATCCGCTACGTAGAAAAATCTAAGAAACGCAACCAGTTGGGACGTTTTTGTGAGGAAACGGTTGAGTCAATAAAAAAGGTATGAACACTCCGATGGCTATATATTGGTTGCACCTCTTTAAGGCAAGACAATAATTCATCGGCCGTCACCTATTCGCATACGCGCGGCGCTAGGGATGTTTCAGTAAAGACCTTGGCTGATAACGTGATAATTTGTTTTTTTCAGGGATTTCTATATCCTCTTTGTGCTGCAATTGAGGTTGATTTGAGAGTGCTGTCACATCAACACCTGGTTGTTGATGAAAGGTATAGTGATGATACATAATCGCAATCCTTATTATATATTATTTAAATGTTGTTGCTTGCATTGTTTGCAGAGACAGTCCTTCTCAACAGATGCTTGATTTCTGCAAGAAAATGATGTTTGATCCAGACATTCGACTTCATGGTATGATTCTGAGTTCACGTGGTAATTGTTATTTCTCTACTCTGATCTTTGCCTTTTTCCTTTGACCCTATTTGTCAACAGTGCCTAGTCAAGTGCATTATGGTCATTCAGCAAGTGGCGTTTATTGATGTGATCCAAAGTAACTCTACTAATTTCTTCAAAGTTATTAGAAAGTTTCTTGATTGTATTTGCTTATAATTGCATCAATTCCATTTCGGAATATTTGCAAACTCGGTCATAAGCATCATCTAGGCTGGTGCACATCATTAGAGACAAATTAAAGACCGGTGTGTTAAAATTTCTTTATTGGATTCTTTTGTAAAATGTAACTACAATGATGCTGAGATATTTGCACAACTCCGAACCACAAGTGTTTGCGGCGGGGATCGAACACACTATTACGCTTGCCTAAGGCTAATGCGTTCACCACCACACCATGCGAGTGTTTGGTTTCACCATTCTCTCAGCCATGTTTAAATTGTAGTCGCTGTCAGCAATCACCCGCAATGGGAGTGATCTGGGGAGTACAAATCGGATTCTTTTGCTTCGACAAAACTTATCCTTTATTGTAGAATTTGTTTCGTCCTATCTTCAAAAGATATTCTACGAACTCACAACAGTTACCCTTCATGATCGCCATGCGTACGCGAAAATGTCCATGTTGGCCAAACAACGGTGAGTCATGATCTTCACCTGTTTTTCTATATAATGCCTGGTTTTGCTGGATTTTAATACATTTCTAATATTCATTTGACAGATAACAAGGTATATACACTGATTTCAATTCATATGGTCTAAAAATAATGTCCGCTTTCAACTTTCTTCCAACATATCTCAGTTCATACTGATTTTCTTTGATTGAAATAATATTTATTTATTTGGATACTTGGTTAGCCCTTCTGCACTGGCGAGCCTCACATAATTTCCATTTCTACGGAGTTTTGCTGGTTTAGCCTTTTTGGGTCCCTGTAGTCCCGAGGTCGGCCTAGCCAAAGTTTGCCCCAGGTCTTCACCACTACAGGCAGCTGCCGCCGTCGTGGATTGGAGGTAGAATTGCCACTATGCGACTAGTTTGATACCAGGGCGGTGGTGGATCCTGGAATTGGTGTACTTGAAATAATAACCAGTAAATTATACAAATCTTTGTTTATGAGGGGTAGCTCATCATGCTCTACTTGGGTGATGTTCTGATTTTCTGCAACTCACGAAATTTTCGTTCACTTTTTGCTTGAAAGGTCGTGTTTTGGAGAAAAAAGGAAAAGAAAATGCGTGACTTCGTCCAGCAGGACATGATTGATGGTGTTACCCAGTATAATACTATGGGTTGTGGCTGCTACGCTCCTACTGGAAACTTAAAAGATTAAAGCGTCTCAGTTTTTTCCTTGAGAATCTTGTTTTTGAGCCATTTTAAGAGTTAATGAATGAATTACAAAAATTACATTTGCCTTTGATGTTATAGAGAAAAGGCTTCTATAGGTCTATCGTATTTTGGACCTCGCAGCTACTCTGGTTGTCAAGAACTATTGACAGTTATCGACCGACGAGCACGGTCGATTGGGTTAAATACCAAGTCGAATCAATACAACACTACAAACCTCTCTTGGCGTTGGTCAGTCCCTGAGGGATGCGTCATGCATTCAATTTTAATAGTCATCGTTGGAGGTGATTGAATCCATATTTGCCTTTGCAATGATTCGCGGTGGCCTAACGATATATCGACCCAGTGCTACTATCCTTCCAGACAAGTTTGGTACCAATTTGCTGACCACGAAGGGATGGAAGGCTTGGTGAACTTGGGGCGCGAGGTCGATCCCATGTGTATTGAAGGACGCCTACGACCATTGCGCTACACACTCCCCTATACAGCACCATACGTGCATTAAACAGCGTGTCTTTCAGTATGTTGTTTTGAAAACGAAACAGCTGGAAAAGATAGAAATTATGCTGTTTAAAGCTAACCTGATGTCGTACGGTAAACATTTGGTATTCTGCAATGTTACAAATTGGAGGCATTAGAAAGTACCCTTGATTGATTCGTAACAAAATTTTATCACCATCATTACAGACCTTACACCTACTTAACATAACAAACAGAAGAGTATAGTAAAAAGATCTTGAACATCAATCAATAAAGTCCGTGTGAAAGTTCTTACTGTTTCGTGATTTTATCGAATACGCCGTCAATTATTATCTATGCTCTGTCCTGTTTTAAGGAGCTGTACTGGTACAACTTTTGTGTTGAATTACAAAAACCAATGGTGATTCTATTTTGTTAAAGATCTAAAATGGTTTCTTTCTAACCTCGATGGATCCTTCTCGGTATTTAAAGAAGTTCTATTCATACACGTATTTTCCTCATACGACTCCATATCATATATTATGCGGATCCCAGCACTTCGTACATCCCATTCGTTTTCTCGTATCCATATTCTCGAAGGTCTATGCGTTTTGTGTGTGTGGGTCCCACTACTAATTGGAGATTTTCAGTCTTTTGAAGATCGTTGAATGTTGGTCGAGTCAATTCTACCTTAAATCCTGGAGTATTTCTCGAGGGATACGTTGGAATAGTTGTATTGTCCACGGCGGGATCTTAACAGGTTGTGCGTATTGAATGGCAGTACTAAAATTAAACCACCTGCCTCCTTATGCACGCATTGACCGGTCTTTGCCTTAGTCTCTATCTCTGGGTGATCTGAATTACTACACGAAACGTTGTGGATACTGTAATGGTTCGATAAAACAAGGAACTACAGTGAAATAACGTTTTAATTACTGCCTATTCGTTCTTCAAGGCAGAGTATGCTGTGGAATATAACTACAATGATGCTGGGTTATTTTCAAATCTTCGAACCACAGGTGTCTGCGGTGCGGGTCGAACTTGTTATTACCCTTTCCGGGTTAACGCTGTTTTATAAGCGCTATCAGCAATCACCCGTCAACGAGTTGGATCTGGGGAGCACAAATCGGCGTTGATTCCAGTTAAGTTGAAGTTATAGTATAAGTCACAATGTCTTTTTCTCGCTCGCAGTACTCTCCAGATCAAGCCCAATGACAAATGATTGCGTATAGCACTAATAGGTCAAAACACAGCTGAGGGAAAGGAGAAACGATGGACCCGCATGGTGTGGTGGTGAACTCGTTAAACCCCAGAAAAGGCAATAGCAGGTTCGATCCCTACCGCAAATACCTGCGCCGCGAAGATTTTTCACATATCTCAGCATCATTTCGGTTTAAAAATTACAGTTTTAAGATATGGACTTGACATCATCGACGGAGCATTACCGAATTGCTCGACGGGTATGGGCATGGATGTGGTGCAAGTCATGCGCTCACTGAAACAATTCGTTGCCGACTTCAACTACTGTCTCCATCAAGAGGTGAACTTACGCCAGTAAACAGATTAATAACTGTACTGGTTTGGTTTCGACTTCACATGTATTTTTTCACGTTCTGGTATTTTGCATCTCTATCTTTTATGTTTTCTGTTCGTTCTTTATATTATTTTTAAAAGAAAGAGATATAGAAACACTTTCATGTTATCAAAATTTTCAGCAATCGTTTTCTATCCTTTTACTAATTTTATTATGACTGGATTTGTCTTGTAATCATATTTTTCTTTGCACACAAGGCTTTCTGAGAACTTTCTGGGGGCGGTTTGTCTTTGAGTGGAGTTTTTTTTCATGATTACTTAGTACTATTATTCAGTTTTTCATTGAAAAGACATCTCCTAACCGTACACTTCGTGTTCTGACTGTTGACCATATGGCTGATTCGATGCGAACACATGGCTTAGGTGTTCTGAACACTGGTGTAAATCTTACTTATCAGGTATCAATTTTTTCTATCACCTATCACTCGCTATATTCAACCAGTAATCTCCTGACTTTGAAACCTAATCAAGCTTGAAATTATGTTCTACCTCTCGTCTGATGGAATTTACCACTGATTAGAACGATGCCATTTAACCTGACCGTTGCCTTCATTGAAAAAAGAAACAGTCAGGTTTTCTTGAACCTGATCGTGTAGATGTAAGATTTATTCCACTAATGAAGATATAGCAATGAATCTGTTCAATAGAGATTAAATGGAAGTTAAGAAACTAGTTGGGAGACTGTGTCGCATTAGTGCGCTTTATTTCATTATTTGCTTTTGAGGTACACGAAGCTTGGATCGTACAAAAAGGGCCTGTAAAGAGCAGAACTGAAGACGAGGAAATAAAACTAGGAGGAAAATTAAGTTTTATAAATATGTGGTTGAGAAAAGGTCATACGAATGAACTAAATACGGCAAAGGCAGATAATGGTGATTAGGAATGACTGTACCAGTGCTGTAATACGTCGTTCTGTACCAGTGCTGTAATACGTCATCTTCAAAAATACACGCATACAATCTTTTATATTTGGTGATAAAGTATGGTAGAAACTACAACCACAACGTTGCTGAGATATTTGCAAAACTCTGGACCGCAGGTGTCTATGGTGGGGAACGAACGCGCTATTATCCTTTCCGGGGAGCGTTACTCTCCCCACCATAGACACCTGCGGTCCAGAGTTTTGCAAATATCTCAGCAACGTTGTGGTTGTATTTCGCTTAGTAACCTGCCATGAACATTATAGAAGGCAGAAAACAAAACGTTAAATATGGTAGAAACTATCAAAGAAGTTTAACCACAGTTATGCTTAGATATTTGCAAAACTCGAGTCCGTAAAGCATCTGCGATGGGGATCGAACCTGCTATTACTCTTTCCGAGGGCAAACGTGTTCATCACCATACCATGCGGGTCCTTGCTTTCGACTTTGTCTCAGCCTTGATCAAAGAAATCAAATGTGTCATTACTGGCATCTTGTACCACTAAAACGCATTGAAGCTAATTTTCATAGGCTTAACATAAGTATTAAATAGTTTACGTCTTGGATTTTGTTTTTTCAGCTCCTTCGAAACAAATTTACGGTTTTCAATCAATTTCTTAAAGATGAGCATATTCATGCTCAATTACAGAAGGATATTCGCTATTTTCATGAGAATATTGAATCGCTAAATAAATTGGTTAGTTTTTGTTTTTTAATTTAAAAGCTGCGTAAAAGAAACTTTGCGTTCTTTTTCCTGGTGCCATTTGATTTACAGTTCTGTTTTTACTCTTCACTTTATGGGTGCCATTATCCTTTTTTTCTATTACTATTCATGCTTTCTTGTTTATTTACGTGATGAGAGATATTTAGAAGATATAATAACAAAGGGGTGCGCATGTAGCGCAATGGTCGCAGGCGCCCTACAATATACATGGAATCGATTCTCACGTCCAGGCACACTATGCTCTCCATCCACCCGGAGTCAACGAATTGGTGCCAGACATGTCTGGTAGGATAGCGGTACTGGCTCGATACATTGCTAGGTCACCGCGTGGCTATATATGCATTCAGTCACCTCCAACGATGATTGACGAAATCGAATTCATTGCACATCCTTCAGGGATTGATCAATGTCAACAGATTTATCCTTTATAGCGTTTATAATAAAGTTTCGAACTGAGAACATAGTAGCTAGATGAAGAAGAAGTAATGAAGGGAAAAAAAAACAGGGAGGCAAATCTATTTTGGTACTTTAGTTTCCTCCGAAGAGAGCTGAACAGTTTAATCGAGCACTCTCACAGCTCACGACTCTGCAAAACGAATGCACTTACATGGACAAATTCCGAATTCTCATTACGCAGGCAAGGTTTTACAGACTGCTCATTGTCTATTTCCTTTACAACAACAGGTCAAGCTATTCTCATCCATTAAAAGTGCTCCTGTTTAGCAATTGCACCAGTGAAATTATCCTTTTTCACAATAGTACAAAAAACCTTGTTTTAATTATAGATGGGAAACGCTTTGGGTTTCGTGCGCTCTATGTCTTCAGCAGCAGCAGCTGTTGCGAGTCAAATGAAGGCTTACGACACCGCCGTCGAAGATATTGGTCTTCCAAATCCTAATGGTCAGCATGGCTCGATCACTGTTTTTTTAATTGTTAACTTTGCTACTATATTTATTTAAAGATGATTCACCGATTAGGACCACCATGGAGCTCCTTAGAGAATTGCGTGAACATGCTAGTAAAACTAGAAGCTTTGTAAAAGTGAGAGATACTCGTTTTCGTTACATAGCTGACTGTGCTCTTTTTCAATCAATCTCTTTCAGATGTTGATCGAGGTATTCCGTAGTGCTTTTCTGGATGAATCTAGGTTTGGTCATCTGCTCGATTTTTACGTGGCCGTGCCAGCATTGACGGTGAATTATGTGGAACATATGTTGATGTGCAGGGATCGACTAAAGAAACGAGCTCAACATGATAAAGAACTCACTTTCACTGACGACGGATTCACTATGGGTATGTTTTCGCTTTTGTTAGTTTTCCATGTCTCTGATTCTTCCTAATGTTGAAGTCGTGTTCCACCAACCATCTTTAGGGTTGCGCTTTTTTTGAATAATATTCTTTATGTCTGCTTTTTAAGAGTCCTGTTTCGACTAGTTTTTCTATTCCTTGTCATTTCACTGCTTTATCGCTTTTGTTTTCACGGTTGTTCCAATAGATATCACTTTAGCTTTGCTTAGTGGCATTATTAGTTATGTTAACGTCTATAGTATACCATTATTCAGGCTTAGCCTATATCCTCAGTATACTAAAGCTATGGCCACAATTCACAACTTTGAACTGGTTCCGATCTATAAATAAGTGAGTCATCTTTATTAATTGAAGTGTTTGGGATGTGTTGCTTTCGTATGAAAATGTATCCAAATTTTTCCACATGTACGTTTCCCTTTGGTTTTCTCGACCCATGATCATCAACTATACTATGGCTTGTTCTGTTTATTGTTACCTCTTCAAGTTTTATTTCCTAATTTGGATAGTCTCTGTAATACACATGGGATCAGTTCACGGGCCCCAGGCCCACCAATGGCCCTAATGTTAGAACGCGTCAGATTCGGTCTCCATAGACTACACAGGCTATGGATTAACAGCTGTATTATGCTTTTGATGAGGTTATTGGAAGTATGACCAAAGACTGAAAGCGCATTACATGGGGACACACGATAGCTAATAGGGTAGTGCATGAGAAGGCCTGTGCGATAGTCATTCTACGATGAGCTGTTTTCCTATATACTTTCGAAATCTATTGTGAAGCTGGCCTGTGTCGGCCTTCTGGTCTTCAAGTTCTGGTGGGCGACCGCATGGATTTTGATTCAGCCTACTGTACAAATAAAAGCTCAGAATAGGTGTTCGAGAGCACTGGTTTTGTTTTGCAAAATAAGAATCAAGATTATGGGTTATCACAGGCCTATCGTCTGGTCTGCTATTAACCGGACTGTGTAGCCTCCAATGGAACTTCTAGTTCGATCCTCTGTCAGCGATTATTGCACTTCTTTACATCATAGACGGAGTGCCTACTGTTGGGAGCTTTGTGATTGTTTTCTTCTGAATTTCTTAGACATTCCCATGCCGTTCTCACATTTTAACCACAGAAGGCGCTCGCCTTTGTAAATTGGAGCGTTGTTTCTGTTTTATTATTACTTTTCTGTTAGGTGGATGACCAAATGTTCATTGTTAACTAAGCTAATGAGTATAGTAGTATAGTATATCATTTCAAAGATTGATGAGAATTTCTAGGAAATGTGCTGCTGATAAGGAGATGTTGAATGATGAGATGAAAACTTCGAAAGATTCTCGGAGTGCAGGCCTTAAAGCAACTCGTTTACAAGCTTATGAGCGGGTTCGTGTTTTGAGTATCGTCACTTGAACGAGTAAATTCGGATTATATTACATACACGTTGCATGTTTGCACCCTCTTTTTAGTTATAACTATGACACCGTTCACTTATAGATAGCTAGCTGTGGTTACTTTTAAATCTATCATGAACTTCAAAAACTCGTAGGGTTATATTCTTTTCGAAAATTACATTGGAAATTGACAATTTCCTGATATTTTTTGAAATGGAGAAGAAAATTATGAGCTTAGTGAATATGAGGGGATTGTTTCAGGAATTCAAGCTGTTGTCGTTTACGTTACAGTCATCTCGTGTATTTTTTTCAGTCGATGACGATGAAGATTAAAAGCGTGTACTAAATTCACTTTAATTTTGTTGTTGATCTGTTGTTATGTGGAGAATTACAATAATTCATGCGCAATAAAACATATCGATAATGAACAGTATTTGGTGAGCATATACTAAAATCTACAGTAAAACAGTGTTGATGGTCAAGTCAGGATGTGATTTTAGCTTTATTCTGAGACGATGAAGGTGTTTGTAAGACTGGGCCTTGTGTCTGCAGTCTGCTTCTGAGCTGAGCAAAGTAGTCCAACTTCTATGAGCATTGGACTACTTTACTCAGCTCAAGCTTTGCTTGCGAGAAATTTTCGTTTCTCTGGATTATTGTTCTAATCTTTATTTTACACAGACGAACTTAGGAACCCTGATCTGGACATTTCATCGGTTTTCAGTATGACTACCATGAGCCTTTCTGAGGAACCCATTGTATTTGGAAATTTATGAGAATTTTTTGTTGATTTCCATTTGGCGTTAAGCTTCGCTAAATCATATGTATTGTTGAGAACGGATTCTCGTTGGAGAATGACTTTTTTGAGAAGTTGTTGTTTATTTAAAATCAAACTAGTTTTCTGCATTGAATTCTCCCTGGAGATGGAGCATTTTGGTTCAAATCTATGGAGTCTCCATAGTACGAGTGTAAAGTGAATCAGGGCTTCGACTTGAAGAGTTCGTGAATTATATTCTAGATAATCTTGGATTGAAATAGTTCGAATTCCGTCGGGTTGGTGTAGCGTCGCTATAAGCGGTTAGCAATCTGATGTGAGCAGGTTGAAGTTCTGTGATTTTTGAATCAGAGTCTTCCAGTCGGTCAGGTTGCTTCTCACCCGTCAACTTCGACGCTGAGCATGATGCCTTCGCGTGCGATTTCATCATTACGTGGGTTAGCGGAGCCTTCGCAACACCCAGTTTTCAGAGTTGACAAATTAAAATAAGAGAGCGGTGGTGGCGAACCCTCATTTGTAGATTGTGAAATGAGGACTGGGTAGCCATTTCTCTTCCAAAATGCTTCCACTGGTCTAGAAGTCTAGTCGGCCATTCAGAAAGTAGTAGTAGGTTTTGCTTCAGTATTTACTTTTACGGGTTATCACGAGTTTGTTATTTTTCCCAATGATAATTCGCTGTTATCAAGTGTATAGGTATTTCGTCGTCGTCGTCGTCGTCCGTACGACAACATACATGTGAATTAGAGTTTCTACATATCACGCAGACCTCATACACCACCCATAGGTATTAGTTCAGTGCTTCTACTATGTATGATCTTCGAAAATAAGACATCGAAAACTGGAGAAATAACCATGTCATTGAAAAAGAAGTACAAAAATGTGAGATTTCGTTAGAAGGTGACTGATTTCTATCACGTGGTATTTCTTATTTCGCTTGACGCTTAAAGTTTGTCATTCAGGGCTTCCTAGTCCTCGAATTTTGGATAGCTCAGGATATTTTCACGCACTTTCAGACGGGTGTAATTCCCATCGTTAGAACCAAGTCGCGTAACATTGTTCCAATTGGGGATTCTCTAGTCATTTTCTGAGCTTTGTTGGCTGCTTTTATGGCGTTTTCTTCAATGCTTGGATACTTGAATGGCCCGTCCTCAGTGGTTGTGCGGGCGCCAGCATTATCACCATTTTTCGGAGATTTTCTGGTTAAGCCATTGTGGTTCCCTGAAGCACCGAGGTCAGCCTGGCCAAAGTCTGCCCCAGGTCGTCACCACGACAGGCAGTCGCCACCTTTGTGGATCAGAGGGAGATTTGCCACCATGCGATTAGTTCGGTACTAGGACGATGACGGTTTCTGGTATTTATTTATTCTTAGCCGGGCTTCATGATTGACGATGGAAACACCGGGTTCTTTCTCAGTTTGGGAGACCGTGGCAGGGTTTTCTTCAATAATATAGCTAATAGGAGACTACTATAAGGAGCATGTGTTTTTCTTCCATAATGCCAGCTATTAGTTACATCCTGTACTCATTTTCACTAGCGTTTTAAAGTCTGACTTCGGCGTCTCTGACAAAGTCATAGAGAGACTTCTCAGTCAGTGCAAATTGTTTTCTCCAAGTAATCGCAGAAAACATATAGTTCACTCTCATCAGCTATACAATTGTTGGTAACAGTTGGTAATACCGAAAATATTTAATGTGAAGGTTAAACGCGAAGGATGACGAAACGAAGTGATAGAGGCGATTCGTTTCGTCGTACCGTTGTTCCATAATATAATATTGGAATGTCCTTAACGTACTTTATTATCTATAATGAATATTTATTGTCAATAGACATCGGTTAAACGGCGGATAGCACAGTGGTGGTGATGCCGATCATCGCGAGCACGGTGCTGGTTCGATCCTGATTCGTGCGCGCCAAGCCTGTTATCCTACTGAGATGGTGGAATTGGTAACAAACTTCTCAGGGAAAAAATTATTCTCTGCACTCTCCGTGGGACGCTCCAGATCGGCTATCTCAGAGCTGCAGGAAGAGTCGATTCGACCAGCATTCTACGAGTTTCAACGTGTGGAGGAAATTCTCAAAAAGCAGAAGCTAAATCCACACGTGAAGGTTGGAAGGCCTTCGTTGATGATGAATGCGAAGAAACGAATGGAATGTGAAAAGTGCTGGGATCCGCACAGTAGATGTGAATGATGGCTCGTATTAAAAACTTCATTTACAGGAAAAATAAGGCCCACTTTGAATCCCGTTGGAGACGACTAAGTTTATGTTAGTTTTAATGCCTGATTGGAACGGTTCCACAAATCCCCTTCACTGAAGGGTACCTTGTTTGCCAAGCAACGTGGTGGGTCACCGACTAACAGATGGTGGAATAAATACTAACCTAAGACAACCTTTTGCTTATTATGGGATGAACGAATATTCGGAAGATGTACTCTTTTTGTGTCGTGTGAAACTGACTTATAAATCCCTTCTTTTTTTTGCACCATGGTTTGTTTACATGAAAGCCGATTATCATAAAAATGGACAGTCAGTTAAGAACTCTCTTATATAAGAGGGAACAGTCAACTGAGGCTTCTTCACTCGTGCGGTGCTTTACTTCACATCTTCAACTTTATACGACTATGAAGACTCATAGCAGAAGCAAAAACAACTGGTCTGGCCAATTGACTTGAATCAATCTCGGTATGAAGGAAGCAGTAACACTAAAACGTTAGCGTGGATAAAGAATCGTAACAACATCGTGTGAGCTATAAGAAGCTACCTAGAAGAGAAAAGAGCAAATCTCAGAAGAAAAGTGCAGAACATCTCAGCATAATTCGATGTTTTTCTTCAATAAGCAGACACGAGATTGTTATTATAGAATTTATTAGGATGCAATAGCTGACGTTTCAGAACATCTCAGCATAGTTGTTCTTCTTGTTCATGAAAATTCCATGAGCGAGCGACGAAAATCATATGAAAACCCTTTAGACACAGTTCACACGTTACTCTGGTGTTCGAAAAATGAATATAATATCACCTTTGTCATATCACATTTTGTCGAATCATTTTTAAATAAAAATTCATCAACGTTTGAAAGGAAAACTTAAATAACAACCACCTATTGCTGATGGCACCGTTAGGGCAAAGAAATGGCTGAGAGAACGGGAAAAAAAGGGCGTAAGTGGTGTACTGGGTAGTACACGACACTCCGAAAAGGTAATCACGGGTTCGTGTCTGACCTGGGTGCTGAGCTTATCATGCAATCCCATAAAAAATAATGGGTAGAAAACAAGAAATTATCCACTATCGCTAAAATATGTACAAGAAAAGTGGAGTTACAAGTCGGAAAGCATGGTTTTCGAGCAATATTTCAAGGTATGAAACCATTTCAGTGTCTAAGGCTGTTATTCATCAATGAAGGAGAAACATTTCAACCGCATGGCAAAGGCCGACCATAGGTCTTAAAACTGAAACGTAAAGAGATGAAAAATTGCATTAGGAATCACTTCCTCACCTAACATACCGCTGTTCTCACCAACTCTCTGCCACTTTCTAGACATACACTTTATTCAAGAATATAATAGAATATAATAGAATAGAAAAATATTCAAACTATTCTTGATGATTCTAAATCTTCTTGATGGCTTATCGGTTTGGGTTTCAAGCTGTGCGCTAGACGTTCCTGCTAAATGTTGTTCACACCTGACAGCATAGCACCTTTTCATTTGTTATGCTAATCGATTCTCAAGACAGGACTTTCTTAGCAAAATTTAAGTTCCGTTAAAAACCTATTAAAAGTACTCTTTTCGACGAAATTCCAGTGACATGTTTTAACATAATATTTACTTTAAAGTATTCGCCCTTTTCTGTCACAGTAGAAACACAGGAAGTATTAAAGGGAATTTGTTCAATGTTCATTTAATTGGCGATCAAGATTGATACTGCCTTCTTTTCAGTCAAAATCTTTTATGTTCATCTTTATTTTTTGTACTACACATAATTAGCTTAGCTAGACTTAATCATCAAACGACACAGTGGTTAGTGGTGTTCTGCAGTAAACACATGGTTTTTGGTTCGATCCCGCCTTTAAGAATTAATAAATTCCCCATCCCTCCTGTCTCAGCAAATTGGGACCAGATTTACCTAAGAATACTGTCCTGATAAAGCGTGAAATATTTATTCACCTCTACGATGCTTTATGGAGTGGAACGCGGAGCACCAGTCTAAGATATTGGTGAACGCCAAACACTTCATCTTGTTGTCATCATTCCACTCAGTAATTTAGCAGTTTTTTCAAAGTATTATTTAAGGTTCAGTGTCAAAAACTCTTGAAAAAAATAAGACTATTGTAAGAATTACCAGATACATTTTTAGACTATACGAATATTGGTGCACGGCAATTTAGAACTAGTCTGAAAGTACAACTGCAAGGATGTTGAGATATGAGCAAAAATGGAGCCTTCAGAAGGGATTCGAGCCCACATTTGCCCCTTTACCGTGTGCTCATGTTCTATCCACCATACGAAGCGACGCTCTTGCTTTAAAATTCTCTTATCCATGTTTTCGCTGTATCAGTGTT